TCAGCTGGGAGTAGCGAAAAATGCCTGATGACTAGTCTAGTTTGGTAGAAGGTGATGAGTGGGGTTGGCACCTACTTCTGCTGGTCTGTGGGATTCTGGATAATGGTTTTTTCTCCATCGATGACATGCTGCTTCAACTGGTGTGACAGCATACCTGTAGACAGGACATAGCCTATGGAACAAGCTATCCAGAACCCCAAAAGATTTCCAAATCCACCCACTTCGGTAGTTTGAAGGGGCAGGCAGTGAGAAAGTACCTGGCTATGGAAACACAGGGCTCTTGAGATTTTTGGCTTCAACTGGGCTATAGCCAGGATAGATCTTCAAGGGAGCAAAAGCCTGAATTTTGCAAAGCCACTCATTCTTAGACCCTCAACCCTGTTAACTGTTCTCACCTTCTATTGGCGTGCAGTTAAATGAGTGGGCAACTTTGTTCCAGGCTTCTGTCACTTGTGTGTTCTAGAAGTACAACATCAAACAAAAGGTGAGATATCAGGAGCTAATGAGTTCTCTACAATGAGAATAAGAAGCATAAAAGAACAGAGCGTTCTAATATCCTCCATCCAGTACCAATGATTCTCATTCACTGGATTTTCATTTCATAGCTCGATTATCCTTACAATCTAAATACTTTATATAGATGCTCCCAACTTATAATGGGGTTACATCTCAAAAGAACTCATCATAAGTTGAAAATACCACTAAGTCAAAAATGCATTTAACTGGGCACAGTGGCTCATGCCTGTAATCCCAGCACTCTTGGAGGCTGAGGCGGGTGGATTATGAGGTCAGGAGTTCGAGACCAGCCTGACCAACATGGTGAAGCCCTGTCTCTACTAAAAATACAAAAATTAGTGTGGTGGCACACCCCTGTAATCCCAGCTACTCAGGAGGCTGAGGCAAGAGAACCGTTGGAACCTGGGAGGCGGAGGTTGCAGTGAGCCAAGATTACGCCACTGCACTCTAGCCTGGGTGACAGAGTGAGACTCTATCTCAAAAAAAAAACCCAAAAAGCATTTAATACACCTAACCTACCTAACATCATAGCCTAGCCTACATTAACTGTGCTCAGAACACTTAGAAAACATTATCCTACAGTTGGGCAGAATTATCTAAAACATGCCTATTTTATAATAGTGTTGATTATCTCATGTAATTTACAAAATATATGGAAAATGAAAAACAGAATGGTTGTATGGGTACTCAAAGCATAGCTTCTACTGAAAGCACCATCAAGCTGAGGAACAGGTGTATTTGCATATCATTTTACCCAGTGCTTTCACAAAGATGGTCTAATTTGATAAATTTTGCAAGTGAACAGGGCAGATATATATCCCAATCTAGAAGACAAGGAAACTGAGTCTCAGGTTAAATTATTTGCCCCAGGTTAAATGACTGTTAAGTGAAAGAACTTGGTCATAAGCCTGGATTTTCTTTTTTCTTTTTGTAGAGGTGGGTCTTGCTATGTTTCCCAAGCTGGTCTCAAACTCCTGGGCTCAAGCAATCCTTTCACCTTGACCTTCCACAGTGCTAGATTTATAGGTACATGCCACTACACCTGGGTTTTCTGATGTTAAGTCTAGTGTTAATCCTTTTATACCTGGCATTCTTATCAGTTTTGTGGGGACAGCAAATGCTTATTTTTCCTTTTTCAAGACATAGTTTCATTGTCACCCAGGCTGGAGTGCAGTGGTGTGATCATAGCTCACCACAGCCTCAATCTTCCAGGCTCAGCTGATTGTCCCACCTCAGCCTCCCTGGCAGCTGGGAATACAGGTGCATGTTACCACGCCCAAGTAATTTTTATGTTTTTTGTAGAGATGGGGTTTCACCATGTTTCCCAGGCTGGTCTTGAACTCCTGGCCTCAAGCTATCCTCCTACCTCGGCCCCCCAAAGTGTTGGGATTACAGACATAAGCCACTGTGCCCATCCAAATATAGCTAATTTTAAAAAGCTGTTTTATAATTTGGAATTGGATAAAATAGCTTACCTGGTTTCCAGGTTTGACCAAGCGTAGGGCAGCTTCGGCACAAAGGTGAGCTGCCTTAATAACATCTGCTTTCCTCCCGGTTACTTGGGTCCCCTGTAGATAAGGACATGCAATCAGTGTCTTCCTGGAAAGCTTGTTAACTCAGCTGGCTATCTGGTTAATATCTGTGAGCCCATATGTGAAGGCCAGCTAATGAACAGGCGAATAAAAAAAAAAAAACAAAAAAACAAAAAAAACTTTCTCCTTCTCCTTTTGCTTCTCTAGAGACTCTCTCAACTTAAGTGGTGATTGGGGGTGGGGATAAGAAGCAAATGGCAGTGCATTCCCCTCACCCCCAAGGCTGAACGGAGATCAAAAGCAGGCCACCTACCTGAGCTACATCAACTACAAAAGTATGAGCTACATTAGCGATGAAGCCATCCACATGGACCCCAAGGTCACTGAAAGGCAAGATCAGAGTACTGCATTAGGAACTAGCACTTTGTAAATGCTTTAAAAAAAGAAAAATGCTTTAAAACAGTTTGACCGACCTGCCCCACCGGCCCCACCCTCTGGCTGGGGGCAGCCCCTCGGGACAACCCGCCAAAACAAAAACAAACAAACAAAAAACAACAACAACAACCAAAAAACAGTTTGACCTTACATTTTTACCAAGTCACCTTCCTTGAGAATATAATCCTGGTCGCTCTTCAAAGGGGAGAAGTGACATACACAATTATTTACCGAAATGCTGGTGGGAAAAGCAATACCTTTCTTCATTTCCTTTTCTTTCTTGAAGATTTTCCCTGTTTCTTCCATAATCATGGCATCACCTTTCTCACACAGGCTCAGTACCGACACACCTGAGCTAGATGCTTCCACCAAGGACCGAAGTACCCCTGAGGACAGAATCCCATCATGTCAGCCTTGTATGTATTTATTGTCTAGTTACCACCCAAGGAATACCTGGAAATTGGACTTAAGAGTTTGTAATACTCTCTAGTGCTATTGCCCTGAGGCTGAAAGGACAACATTCCCTTCCCTTCCTTATTATGTGACAAGTGGGTATATACAATCCATCTTCCTAGGCAAGGCCTTGGACTTTCCAAAGATGCTACCTTTGGTGTGACAGGACAGAGTTATGAACTTTAGAGGGTTCTTGCCAAGGTATGCCCACATACACGCAAAGAAAAGATGAAATTTATAGGCATCAGGGACAACAAGAAGGTAGACAGAATTGCAGACTCGAAGCTGATGCATTATTAAATGTTACCGCCTTCCTTTCTCAGACATTCTAATTAGGTGTTAGGAATCTCAATCTACGTAGACTTATTTCCTCATAAACAAGTGTATAAGCCAAAGGGGTTTAACCTAAGGTCCCTGGGTTTCATTTCAGGGGATCATGGCTTATCTCAAAGAGATGTGAGGCCAAAGTTACAAAATTTATATCTGAGAACACAATGGCCTGAAGTTATAAACTGCAAGAAAGAGATTTTTCTGATTCAAACTACTATCTCAAATACTAACAGGCACCAAAAACCAGAGTACTATACTAAATGTCCACTGTGCTATAAAAAAGCACAGGTTTGATTTTTGAAATCTCAGTTTTGGTGATTCTTTGAAAGCTGGTAAAAATTCAGCTTTTCACCCACAGGACCGGAGGCATCCTAAATACTGCTTCTCCACCATCTTTCCTGTTAAAACCATTTAAAAGCCGGGCACATTGGCTCACACCTGCAATCCCAGCACTTTGGGAGGCCAAGGTGGGCAGATCACCTGAGGTCAGGAGCTCAAGACTGGCCTGGCCAACATGGTGAAACCTGGTCTCTACTGAAAATACAAAAAACTAGTTAGGCATAGAGGCATGCACCAGTAATCCCAGCTACTCGTGAGGCTGAGGCAGGAGAATCGCTTGAACCCAGGAGGCGGAGATTGCAGTGAGCCAAGATTGGGCCATTGCACTCCAGCCTGGGCAACAAGAGTGAAACTCTGTCTCAGAAAACAACAACAAACAAAAACCAAAAAACCACACACACACACACAAACCCCAAAAAACATTTAAAAGCCCACGGACAAGCAGTTTGTATCTCCCTGAGTTTTAAGTAAAATGGAAAGGCGAATTGGAAAGAGAGAAAAGAGAAAGTGGCATCTGCCTAGAGTGACAGGCTACTGCTGAGACCGTCAGAGCACAGCTTTAATAAGGATGACTTGTGACAATCCCAAAATCAGTCCTCCCTTTTCCAGTACTGTTTGCAAGCTTGCCTGGTTGGGATAAGACCGGGACGCCAAAACATTTGAGTTGTCAAGTCACTGAGAGTAACAAATGTGAATGCTAACTAAGGTTACCTGCACAGATTGGAAAGGTGGTAGTAACGAGTAACTTCAAGAAAAGCCATATATATCTCCAAGACTTGGGTTAGAAGCTCCCGGAGTGCTCTCCAACGGTCCCCTTAGCTGGCCCAAGGGTAGAAGGGGGCCCCCACCAGGGTAAGAGCTGAAGTAAAGAAGGAAAGGCTCCAGAAAAGCACGTGGCAGGGAAGCTAGTGTCAGGGACAGTAGTGGAGGAAGAAGGGGGCCAGCCATCCGCAAGGGGACCCAGCAACACGTGCCGGCTTGGCTCCTGACGCCCCAGAGAATCGACAAAACAGAGGGGCGCTTCTGTCGCCAATAGCTGGGCGCTTCCTTTTCGAGGTGGCCTCGCCGCTGCCAGAATCAGAGGAAGCAGAAATCGGGACTGAAGGATTGGAACAGGAGAACACCTGTCTTGCCTCCTAACAAACGGCCTCGGGTCTGAGCCTGCCAGGGGTCCCTCTCTGCTCTCATCCCAGTCGCCGGCCCGCACCTCCACAGACTTCAGCCTGGGCCTGGCCACTCAGGTCCCAGGCGCGACACCGGGTCTTTCCACCACGCCGCCCCCAGAGGACCGGTGCGGACCCCTCAGTAGCTCACTCCGCATGACCCCTCCGCTCCAGCCCCTTTGGGGCCAGCCTGGCACCTTTCCCTGTCAGCCTTGATTCCCCGACCCCTGAGGCCGCACTCACGGTTGGCGATGTCGCCCCCCATCTTATACTTGGTCACGACCAGGTCCTCGGCGATAGTTTGCTCCTGCTGCTCGTCCTCGCCCGACATCTTCCTACCACCACCACTGCAGCCTGGTTTCCCCTGAGCCGCCGCCTCTGTCCCCCTTCCCAGCCGCAGGCTGTGGTCAGAGTCCCCTAGGTCCTCGAGGAGAGGGCGAGCGAAAGCGCGAGCAAGCAAAGGAGCGGGCAGGCTGGCGAGAGCGAGAAGCTGCGAGCGCGCGGGCTGAGGCGCAGGGCACGCTGGGACAACTAGTCCTCTTCACCGCCAGCTTCTAGCCGCCCTCGGGGGCTTGAGAACTACAATTCCCAGCCTGCCTCTCGCCCTCCTAAGCCAGGCCCAGGGGCCTTGCCCTCCAAGGGCCTCGCACGCCGGAATTGCCGGGCACGCTGGGAAGGGTCAGGCTCCGGCGGGAAGGCGGAGCCGTTGGGGAGCTTGCGGGGAAGCGTGGTCTCTCCCGGAAAAACCACTTCCACCGAGAACTCTGAGCGAGAGCCAGTAACAGAGAGGGGCGGGCTGAGGGAAAGGGGCGGAGCTACGGCGGGGAAATAGGTTTAGAGACGGCGGGGCAAGGGTGGAGCCGCGGCGGGTGGGTAGTGTCTACACCTAGGGCGGGGAGGCGGGGTGCGCCCTTCCTTGGATATCTGGATCGGCTGGCGAAACCCGCCCAGCCGGTCCAGTCGTCCTGCGAAGCTGAGAGAACAGGGAGAGGCAGACAGGTGGAAGAAGACCTAGGGTGCTGGGAGCAGGGGCTAATTGGGCAGCCAGACTCCGGAGGGATCATCCATTTAAAGGCCTCCCCATCTAGAGGCTGGACTCCTAAAGAAGTAACATGACATTGTTCCAATAACAGGCTGGATGGAGCACTTAAGGGAAGTGTTCAGAAAGACAGCTGTTTGTTGAGAGTGCTTACCGTGAAAAAACAAAATAAAAGTATTTGGTGACTTTTCTAAGAATGAATTCAGAAGCATGGGGAGGTTTCAGTATTTGGCCTCTGAAGGAGACCGGACATGTATAGGGCTTTTTATAAGTCCCCAAGCACGTGGGTTCTTTGTTTTTGTTATTCTCAGTTGTTTGCCTTGTAGATTCCTACTAAAACCCCAAAGGACTATACGTTGTGCTTGTTCTAAAGAAATACAATAGGACTAGAGAAAGCTGCATGGGACAGAGTAGCATTGTCAGAAAACAGAAAGGTCCACTGCTGAGGAGCAGATCTAGCTAACATATGAAATGTTTTCATTTGACAGACAGGAAGCTGAAAAAAACTTTGGCATTTTTATTCAGACACGTATAAAAACAAAACAAAAAATTTCAGTGATACAACAGATATTTTCCCTCAGTTCGCCATCCAAAGGAACAGAGGCGTCAAACTGGGTCTTCTTTCTGTCCTACCTGGAAGCTTCTCACTGCTGGGTGAGAATGGCTCCTAAAAGTGGATCTTGGGGGATCCTAGTGAATCTGCCCTCAGATAAAGTGTAAAGATCATTCACGGCACATGTGGGTTATGGTTTACACAAAGATGTCCAGTTATTTTTCCTTCTGACTACCCCCACCACCACTTCCTGAGATGAAATGTCTGCGTATAGGAGGAGGATGTGGCTGTTGGGGTTAGACTTGATTCAGTGCAAACAAGAAACGTTGCCCCTTACAAGGGCTGTGATTTAAATCAGTTTTCCTTGGCACCTTACAGTAAGAGCATATGCACAGGAATTGGGAGGATTTTGCATTCTGGACCTACTGCTCAATTAATCTCTTTTAGGCTCAGTTCCCACCCTCCCCCCCACCACTTAGAGACAGTGTCTTGCTGTGTTCCCTAGGCTTGTCTCTAATCCTAGGCTCAAGTGATCTTCCCATTCTCAGCCTCCCAAAGTGCTGGGATTACAGGTATGAGCCACCATGCCCGGCTTCCCTTTTTTGTAAAATGAATTAATATGTATGTCACAGAATTGTTGTAAGGATGATAAAGGACTAAGTGAGATAATGTAGGTAAAGTTTAGTATGATGCCTGGCTCATAGTTAAGTGCTGAATTATAAAAGTAATCAATTATCTACTCCTAACCTTTATCTTTTTTTTTTTTTTTTTTTGGAGACGGAGTTTCACTCTTGTTACCCAGGCTGGAGTGCAATGGCGCGATCTCGGCTCACCGCAACCTCCGCCTCCTGGGCTCAGGCAATTCTCCTGCCTCAGCCTCCTGAGTAGCTGGGATTACAGGCACGCGCCACCATGCCCAGCTAATTTTTTGTAGTTTTAGTAGAGACGGGGTTTCACCATGTTGACCAGGATGGTCTCGATCTCTTGACCTCGTGATCCACCCGCCTCGGCCTCCCAAAGTGCTGGGATTACAGGCTTGAGCCACCGCGCCCGGCCTAACCTTTATCTTGACAGATTTTAACCTTCTGTCTTTCTAGGGGGTTAAGAGTCACAAACCAAAATTATACTTTTCTCTGTTAGGTTTCCTCCCTTTCCTCTTCCTGAGAGTCTGATGGGAAACAAAGGCACACCTAGGAGCCTAGTTCCAAGTAGTCAGAGCCTGAGAGGTAGGGATATGGAGAGTAATCCTTCATATCTCCAGAAATACCTGTGAGGAAGCTGAGGAATGGGATTGAGAAAGCACACAAAATAAGGAAAACCTTCTCCTTTCCTGGGGTTGGGAAAGAGAAGAAAGTGCACAGCTGGCTATATACCATAAGAATTTTGTGTCAAATGTTTAAAGCCTCCAAAGGTTGAATGGAATTGTCTGGGACTGGGGAAATGGGGCTGAGACCTGGGAGAGAGAGGGAATAGGGAGAAAAGAGTACCCTCTAAAGGCACTAGCTGCCATTAAATGCTCCCTGAGTGCCACAGGGAGCAGAGGTTATGTTCTCTGGGCATTAGCCTTGGGGAAAAGCCTGCTATGCCAGTAATCAGGGTTATCAAAGGCAGAGTCTGTAGCCTCTAAGCTACGCAGAGTTTTTAGGCGGGCATAATGGACGTGGGGGGCCTGATGTCCAGGCCCCTGAAAAGCTCTCATCTCTTCATACCCTTGCTCAGATGCTGAGCAGGCCCCCATGGCTGCATAATCACCCCCAGGACCACCTCCACCTCGTTGCCGATTCATATATTCATAATCTTCATCTGGAGTTGTGCCAGCAGTGGGCATGATTGGTACAGGGTGGAGCGGGCAACTCTGTGTGCTGCCCAGAGAGGCACTGAGGTCTGATCCCACATCCATGTACTCATAACCCAACTCCTCAAGGGAACTTGGCCTAGGGGGACGAGGTGGACTGTGCCTTCTCCTCCGGTTCATGTACTCATACTCCTCATCTTCATCTTCTTCTTCAGTACCCAGGACAGAACTGAGACCCACTGAAGAAAGGGTGCCTTCCCGGGAGGAGGGAGTACCTGAGGGTAGAGAGGAAAGGATAGGTATATGAAGAACTTCATGGGGGTAGGGGAAAGTTTGAAAAAATGAATAGGATATAGAGGCATACAATCAGAGAAGACAAAATAATTTAGAGGAGCCTGGGGGAAGAATTTGAGGAAGAATTGAGGAAAGCCGTAGGAAGAGGCAGGCACCTTTGAGGTGTGTATCTGGCATGACATAACCATTGACATCCTCTTCCTCTAACCCTGGTGGGGAGAGAGGGGTGACAGGAGTAAGCAGACTGTGGCGCTGGGAATGGTAGGCACTGTCTCCGCGTGGTCGTGGGCTCCGGCTCCTGCTCCGGCTCCTACACATTGACACTTTCTCCTGGAGCTCAACCTCAGAGCCTGTTACATGGCCCTCTGATGACTCTGATACCAGGCGTCCCCGTGGCATTGGGTGCAGAGAGACTGGACGGGGGCACCATTCACTGCCCTGAGAAACTACAGGCTCCTAAGGAAGAAAATAAACCAAAAATAATGCAAGGAGATTTACACAGATGAAGAAAGAAGTGACATCTGTTTAGAAGGAGATTGGGTTCTTTACTGCCTCTTTTTTTTTTTTTTTGAGATGGAGTCTTGCTCTTGTTGCCCACGCTGGAGTACAGTGGCACAAACTCAGTGCACTGCAGCCTCCCAGGTTCAAGCAATTCTCCTGCCTCAGCCTCCCGAGTAGCTGGGATTACAGGCACCCATCACCATGCCTAGTTAATTTTTGTATTTTTAGTAGAAACAGTGTTTCGCCATGTTGGCCAGGCTGGTCTCAAACTTCTGACTTTGTGATATTTCTGCCTCGGCCTCCCGAAGTGCTAGGACTAAAGGCGTGAGCCACTGTGCCCAGCCTTTTTGTTTTTTGAGACGGAGTCTCTGTCACCCAAGCTGGTGTGCAGTAGTAAAATCTCAGCTCACTGCAACTTCTGCCTCCCAGTTCAAGCAATTCTTCTGTCTCAGTCTTCTGAGTAGCGGGGATTACAGGTGTGCACCACCATGCCTGTCTAATTTTTGTATTTTGGGTAGAGACAGGGTTTCACCATATTGCCAGGCTGGTCTCGGACTCCTAACCTCAGGTGATCCATCCACCCGGCCTCCCAAGGTACTGGCATTATAGACATGAGCCACTGTGCTTGGCCTTCACTGCCTTCTTTTTTTCAGGACACTGATTAAACCTCAAAGGTTTCTAATGTCTTCCATACTACTCTCAATCTGATCCTAAAACCGAGCCTCTCAGCTACCGATCTTACCTGGCAAGCCTCCGCAAGATTACCCTGGTTCATGGGCATGTATCCAGATGATGGACTTAAAAGGCTCTGGCTCTAGGATGAAAAAATAAGGACAAGGTTAAGGTAAAGGGAGAAATCTACATTCACCATGGGGGCCTTTGAGTAGTTAATCTGGGTCTCTGTAGGGTTCGTGAGGGCTCAGGGTGCAAAGTGTTGGGTAATTAGAAGTTGTCTTACCCCACGTTGCCGAGTGAGTGTTCCAACTGGTAGGCTGAGGACGGAGCCCAGTGTGGTGGTTGTCAGGTTGTCCTCCTCTGCTTCCAAGTCTGGATCTAGGTCTAGTTCTGGCTCCAGCTCTACTTCCTCTAGCTCCTTGTTTGTCAGACCATGGTGCTCTGCCCCAGGGTCTATTCCAGGCCCACTCTCTCTCTATATTGATAGGTGATTGTTAGGGGAAATCCTGGTTCCAGCCAACTCCCCCTTTTTAAAATTTCCTTAGCGCCTCCTACTCCCTACTCACCTTTATGACCAGATACCGTGGTGGGTCTCGGGCCATCCTGGTGAACTCATTGGCTAATTCTTTAAAGGTTGGGCGAATGTTCTCATCAATCATCCAACCTGGAGGTAAGATGTAGGAGGTAGAGACATGAAAGGGAATGCCATGGCCAGGTGCAGTGGCTCACACCTGTAATTCCAGCATTTTAGGAGACCAAGGCGAGTGGATCACCTGAGGTTGGGAGTTTACAGCCTGACTAACATAGCGAAATCCTGGCTGTACTATAAATATTTTAAAAATTAGCTAGGTGGTGCATGCCTGTAGTCCCTGCTATTTGGGAGAC